TTAATAATTAAATTAAATATTTATTTTGATATTATAAAAATAAACTAAAATAAAAACTTTATTTATTCAAGAACATTTGCATTTGATGATCCATGTGAATGCGTACATTTTCAAAAGAATCGTCTTTTATTTTATAAACCTGAAAATGATATTTGTCTTGTTATGGTAAACAAAGAAATTCTTTTTTTTTTTTTGTTTTTTTTTTATTTATTTATTTAAGACAATTCATGTTCCAAATATTGAACGAAAAAAAAATGAAAAATTAATTATTGAATATTATGATGAACATATTAATGATAGACCTATGTTATCAATTTTAAAAATGTCCTATCGATATTTTGTTGTAAGTTATCAAAAAAATAATAAACTTATGATAAAATATTTTATTTTATTAAGTTACAACATGGAACAATATCTGTATTACTTCAAAATAATGATATAGAAGTAGTAAAAAATATACTTAAAGAATATTTTGATAAGGTAATTATGTTTAAAATTTTATTGATAGAGGAAAAAAATAAAATAAAATAATTTCATTAAGACTTTTTTTAAGAATGAATAAAAATTAAAACATTTGACTGTATGCAATAGACTAGTATCTTAAGGTTTGTTTTTTTTTTATTATATCAGTTCGTAAATTATAGCTAATGATCTTATATTCAATGATACACTTTTTATGATCTCGTTTTTATCTATAAAATTTTATAATATTAAGATTAGAATTATTTAACAGACTGCAAAAAGTTATCAATATACTTAATGCATTGTGTTAGTACAATAAGAATTTCAATTATCCATGAGACATATCAAGGTTACATACATTAAAAAAAAAACATTCACTATCATAATATAAGAAAAAAGAATTTTCTATAAATCATTGATACTGACTGAAGTTTGTTAAGTAGTTTTATTTTCAAGCTTGTAAATTTCTCTAGACTAAATAACCTTGAAAACAATATATAATTGAATAATATCATCAGTCATCACTCTCGAACAGATAAAATTAAAATTTAGAGAAAGTTTCGTGTATTTCGCACTGTCAAAAAAAAAAAATAAATAAATTTTAATGATAAAGTCTTGAATTTGTTTTGTTTTATTCTTGAATATATTTATTTTTAAATGAAACTTTTTTAAAGAAATCAGAATGAATTAAATACTTTATATAATTTAGTTTATTGAATATCATTTACAAAGAATGATAATTGATATAACAGTTGATTCTTCATTTTTTGGTGTACAATTTTTACCAGTTGAAAAATTAATCTATATTAAAGTTCAATCAATTTTACGACGATTTGAATTACGTTTTACATCATTGAAAGAAACATTATTTCTACATAGAAATCAACTTGTATGGTATATTAAAGAAATATTTTTTTGTTTTTATTTTTATTAAATAACTATTTTCAATATATATTTAAGGAGTGGTCTTAATCAAGATGATACTAGTATAATCTATTCATTTTTTCGACTTCATTATTGGTCACACATTAAGATATTACAGAATACATCTACTATTAGGTAAGAAAAATATTAATGAATAATATTTTCTCTCTTATGTTCAATAATATATACACTCAAAAACATGTTTCTATCAAATTATATACAGTTGACATAATGCATATAAAAAGCATGACACGAAAAGGTCTTGGCTCATTTTATATAATAAATAATCTAAGACTTGTCCTTCTAAGCAATTAGTTTACATAAGAAAATCACTTTTACATTATTATTATTTCTTTTTGCAATGTCTGAACCATTAACTATCTATAACTGGTGTCGTTCATTAATTCTGTTTATGAATTAAAAATTTTCCTAGTGAGAAAATAATTAACATCAACAATCATTAAGACGAAAGATAAATCAAATATTAAAAAATATCTTCAACTAATGTAACAGTCAAGGAAAAGTAATTTTTTGTTTGTAATGTTTATTATTCACATAGGAGTTCTTCTGTTCATAGACAAAATTAATGTGCAACAATCAGTTATACATCTACTTAACGGATTATATATCCTATTGATGATAAGATAGTTTCATCATGATAATTGATTGTTTGGGGTTGAAATTATACCAAGTGACATCCATTGCTTGAGCTTATATTAGATATATAGGCATGTCGCTTAGTGAGATTAGCACGAGGGTAAAAGGGTTCGGCACTGAGTTATGATCAGTTTACTGGACTTTTGATCCAAAACTTTGCCGATAGACAAATCTAATAATTCTAATCGAGTTCACTTGAACAGTCAATAACTCAATGAAAGAACACTTTTTTCAGCCTGAAACTTTCAAGATATTCTAAGAGTCATTAGACCTATCTTTAGGCACAACTTTAGATCGAAAATATACTAAACCAACCATAAGTCAATGACAAAAGTCTATGGAGACGAATCCTTTTAGATATTTTCTAGCTTCCGTAAGACTTGTTGGTGGGTCCAATATAAGCTCAAATAGCGAGTATCGTTTAACAATGTTTGCCCGTTAGTTCACTATTTTCATTTATAATGATTAACAGTTAAGTGCCTGTTAAATATGGCAGCATCCAAAATACATCATGTGCTAGGAAATCTCGTATACATTTTTGGTCCCGGTATTCAATGGATTGTGATGGCACAATGAAAATTTCCATAGATGGCGAAATTTATTTTTTTGAAAATCTGTATATATCTCAAATATGATAGGATAAGTTTCCTAATATATGAGTTATAGAAATTTATTTATAGAATATGTTTTATATCATTTGTTTAGTCTATGAAGATAGTCCTACGAGAATATTTGTTAGACATAATAAGTAAGGACTTCCGTACTACGCTTTCTGTATATTAGTAAATACAAAAAAAATAATTCGTATCATATTTCAAATATAAATCCTTTTAAATTTTCATCTGATAAGTGATTAAGAAGAAAGAAAACTTTGAAATTTCTTTTTTTCTTTTCAATGTGTTTTGTAATTCTAAACAATCTCTCGGGAATTAAAGATTGATATTAACTCCAATCATATAAAGATTAGAAGATGAAAAATTATTTTATTTCTTATTTTTTATTGGTTGTCTTATGATAAAAAGCACGTCATAGAAACAAGAAGGTCAACTTGTCATATGTCTAATCATGATCTTTCTTCTTCTTCTTTTTTTTTGTTTTTCTTTTAGTCATTTATTAATATGATTTTTTTAAATAGATATTTAACACTTGATACAATTGCNTCATGTTTTATCCGTACAATAGTTGAGAACAGCTACTAGCTTATCGTGTGAGTTGGCAGATTTTCTCTACTATTGTACGGATAAAACATGATGTCGTTCGGGCCAATTCAGGGTTATCTAGGATCCTCTCTTATATGGCCCGAACAATAGTATGTTTTATCCTTACAATAGGAGTGCATCAAAATGGGGTACCATACTGACTGGTCACTCCCATATATATTGAAAGCTTTATTTTGTGGAATGTTTGAACTCAAAATTTGGAAGTAATTTGACAAAGACCACGACAAACTGTTGCTATATTCCTGAAAAATAAATAGACTCAAATCTTTGAAGTTTTTCTTTGATCTCAATATGATCTACCCAATGAGAACGAATATCCCACCTTAAAGCATATTTTTCAATATAGAACATCTTCTTCGGATGCAGTTTCATTACCTCGAAATCTTCCTTATATGTATTATTAGCTGTAATTCTGGACAAGATGTCAGACTAACTCAAAGTTCTCTGGTTTGATTAGCCACAAATACTGATGTATATTCCTAAAGGTAGCCAGCATGCTATCGAACAAACAATCATAAGCAACTAGTCATTCAGGATTTGTTCAAAATCATTCCATGACTGGTGATACTGAACTTTAAACTTAATAGTTTCGTAGTATGAACTAGACAATGTAATCATTTAACCATAGAGGTTCTATCTAATGAAGCAAGACTCATGTCAAAATCGATTTCTTGTATAACGAGGTACTTTGATGAAGTACGATTCATCTATTTATTTTACATATATTCTTTATTTTATATAATCTGAATATATTATTTTATTTTAATATTTTAGTGAAACAAATAACGAAGCATTCTTATGTTCATCTTCAAATCATATAGGCGAACAAAAGTCTAAGAAAACAATAAGTCCAAATCTAAATCGAGAACAAACAAATGAATCGTTACCAAAATATCAATCTGTTGTACTTAATGATGGTGCTCGTATACGTATAGTTAATTGTTCAAATGATAATACTAAACATTCATCTTCACGTAATTCAACGAATTCTACAACACTAAAAAGATGTTCTATATCAATCGATAAAATCGATGAAAATTGTACAACAAAATCTACACGTATAAATACTCGAAAAATATCTTCAACAAATTCTAAAATTCCCGATACATTAGAAATTGTACCATCATATCAAGCACAATCAGTAATATTATCTCATAATGAAATATCAAATAAATGGTTAACCCATAGTGTTTTTTATCGTTGTCATGTTTGTTCACATGAAGAATTTTTTGTTGTTCTATCACGTGAATGTATACGTTTACATATATCATCAAAACATGGAAATATGGAAGAAAATTTTAAACAACGTATTTCGAATTTTCTTAATAATCAAGGACGAGCATTAAAAATATTTCAACATTATCTTAAATGGCAACAACCATGGTCAGAAAAAGAAATTGATCAAATATTTCAATTATCAAATGTTAACAATCGAACAAATGGTATTTTTTAATTGATGTTTTTCTTTTCTTTTTTTTTTTTTGTTTTTACATTTTTTTTTCTAATTTCGAAATGATTTTTTTTTTCTATTTTCTAGGTGCTTTATAGAATGGTATATAAAACCTTCTAACAATCATTATTATTATTATTATTATTATTATTGATCTGAATTCCTTTAATTGTTAGTGCAATTTCTCTCATTCCTATTTTTGTTTGCCATTTGATCGTTTTTGTTTTTTCTATGCAGTTTCGTCTATTTCTTTCATTCCTCCATACACAAATATATAATTATTATGTTATTGAAAAATAAAATTCAATTCCGTCGACTATATATGTTTATTTTCAATAGGTACTTCGAATAGATTAGCACAGATGATCATTAATGCCCTAGAATACAAAAAAGGAAGAAAATAATTTTATTCGAAAATGTTAGGTTATATTATTTTTATGAAATAGATTTAATTAGAAGTTTTCACAAAAAATGATTGATGTAGATGTTATGTCAATAATAAAAATGATTAAAAAAAACAATGACAAAAACTAGTTGTTTAAATGTACTCTTCGAGTTAGTCTTATTTTAAATAACCTAAGCGACAATATCTTAATAATCAAGACATTCTACTGTTGTAATAGATGCGCTGTTTATTTTTCATACTAGTTATTTTTTTTTTTTTTTTGAATGTGTTAGATTTTATAATAGATATTTTGCATTGTACTGTTTGTTAATTAACAAAGATTTATTTACTAAGGATTAGAGAACCTATATGTTAAATAGTAGGACGAAGAAGGCGATGAAAAGGTTGTGTTGTAAATGAAAGATAATAAAATTTCTTGCTTGAAAAGAAAAAATTTTACTAATTATTTACTGTAATTTCGATTTTGTCACAATTTTTTTCTTCTTAAAGAACGATTTAAAACTTTCAGAAGACAAACATGTAATAGTTCGCAAGGATTTTGTATTCTATGAGAAGTAAATTCAATCATGAGAAGACCGTTATTTTTCAGTATACTATTTCAATGAAATCATATGTCGTAAATTTCTTATAAATATGTGATTAAGTTATTTACTTGAGAATATCTTTTTGTTGATTAGGTTTAAGTCGACGTCGGATACGAGCCCATGCATTAATCGTTGTTTGATCTTCACGCATAATATCTAACCATGATGGTTCTGATGTAATTATATCATTTGTATTATTAGATTGTGTTGATGTTCCAATATTTATTTTTGTTGGATAAATTTGAGTTTGTTGTTGATTATCAATCATTTTTCGTCGAATAATAGGTGTAGATGATGATGAATAATGAGAAATAATTGACAACGAACTAAGTGTATCATCTTCGGATTGTTTTTTTTTATTACAATAATGTTTTTTTGTTGATCGATTATTTGTATAACGTTTCGATGTTGATGAATGTTGATGATTATGTTTAACTTTTGATTTATGATGATAACTATCATTTGAATGAGATGAACATCTAGAAAAAAAAATAACAAAAATAACAACAATATTCTTATTAAAAATTTTAATGTTAAAATTCAATTTCGACATACGAATCATCTAAACGATTATTATTTCGAGATTGTTGATTTTTCTCAATAGGAAGATTATTATTTTGATTTTCATTTGTTATTATATCTGTTGAAGATGTTTGAATTGTTTTTAATTGAATATTTGATTCAATTTGTGTTAAAAGTGAAACAAGTGAACATAGAGTTTTTTCATTATCTTCGAATTGTTTTTTTATTATTGATTTTGATGGTAGAATAGATTTTTTTAAATTACGTTTTGATCGTTGTTTTTTCCTTGTTAAAATTTCATGTTGATTATCATTAAATTTGTGTTCACCAAAAATTGTACTAACAAGACGTTTTAATAATGGTTGTCGTTGTTCATCATTAATACGTGTATAACAAGGACCTCGTTTTTTTGTATTATTATTATTATTATTTTTCATACAAGATGTTCTCGTTGGTTTAGATGATGATAATAAATCATTTTGATTATTAATTAATTCAGTTTTTGAAGATGAATCAAATGAATTTGTTGTATGTTTTATTTTTGATTTCATAAGATTTTGATTTGATATTATTGTTGAACAATCAATTGAATGATTATCATCAAGTGATATATTTGAATTTGTTTTATTTGATAAATTATCATTAGTTATCGATTGATTTGTATCAGAATAAAATCGTGGTAAACATGAACGAAATACTGTTGTCATTATTTGTTTTTATATAATGAGAGGAAAAATAAAATTTTTTTTTGTTGTTTTCTTTTTTTAAATCAAATTTATTCTCAATAGAAAATTCGAAACTTAGATACAGAAAAAAAAAACGCGCTTTAATAATAAACAAATTTTATTCTAGATGAATGATATGAATTTCTATCCAGAGACGAGTATGGGTTTTCGACCTAATCATCGTCCATTATCACCCAATTTAACTCTCAATTCACCTATAAATTCTCAACGACCACGTCTTCCACCACATATTGCTGAAGAAATGTTACGTTCATCACCATCGGAAAATTCATTAACCAATAGTGCAAATGATAATTTATCATCATCATTAAGCCAAAAACTTTCATTACCATCATTTCTTCAAAGTCCAACACGTTTTATACAACAATTACCAGCATCACCAGCTAGTCTTTTATTAAATCCTTTAATTAAAAAAAACGATAATGAACAAACAAAATTATCATTAAATAATGATGATGATGAAACAAATTTAATTGAACAAATTGATGATTATTTTATTCGACGTCGACAATATTTACAACATAATATTGATGTTTCACTTAATATTAGTAAATGGGTACTTGAAAATCTTATTTTCTATTCAGTTGAAACATTAAGGTATGTATTTAATATTAACAGTAGAATCTGTTCAATTCAATTCAAAACAAATCAATTCATTTTTGATAAGAAATATTTATGAAAGATAGAGACTTGAGATAAACATGATCTAAAAGAAGTGTTAAAGTATACGGGTAAAAATTTGAACTTCCTCATAAATCGTATATCAATAATAGCTCGTTATCTTAAATGAATTACTTCCTTATTGCATGTGTGGAGGATTAAGTAACATGTTGGTGAAGAAATTTGTCTCAAAACACATAGAATAAAATAATCTTACTGTAATCAGCAACAATAGCTACATCGCATTTTACATATTAAACTTGTAGGGATTGTGTTAACAGTCTTTTATAGATCTTTTCGGTAAAGTGTGGCCATCAAAAGTATTGAGAGGTTTAGAATTTTTGTGCTATCTTAAATTTCTTTGAATCTCTTATTATTCAAATATTATATTACATTTATTAAAAAAACAAAATTATTCGAGCAATTCGAAACATATATGATCTAAACTTACTTAATGTATTGAAAAAATTCAATTAGGTAACATAATGTTAATCATATGACATTGATTAGTCTCATATGTACAATTGCTTGTCATGAATCACTTTTTTTTGTTGAAGTATAATGATTTATTGAGAAATTTAAACTAGCTTCGAAACGATTTGAAATGTGCAATAATTCAATTCTAATAAAATTAAAGCTGATAGAAGAGTTACAATGTATAATCCAACACAATATTGTAAGATTATTATAATTCTATTAGAAAGTTTGAACTCTGTTGATAAACATAAATGCTAAAGTTATGTTTAAATTAGTAATTGAAAAAGAAAATAAAAGAAGTTTTTCTTTTGACTATTAACAACGTTGAGATCTTTATTAGTTCGGTTTTTTTTTTGACATCTCAAAAATGAGTTTAGGTTTTATATTTAAAACATGTTGTCAATACAATCTCTGTGAGATTAAAATATGAAGCATGACAAAAATGCAACAATGAAGTAGTTCATATATTATAACGATATGTTATTAATATACGATCTGTAAGCGATTGTGCGAAGCTCAAGTTATTACTTCTATACATCAACACTCCTTGGGCATCGTATTTCCATAGCTTCCTAATTGTGGCCAAAAATTAAGCCAATTAACACATAAGTGGTCGCAATTTGGAACACAGAATTTTACGTTGATCTCATTTTTTATGTGTTTCCAAATTGCGGCTACTTTTTAGTTATCAAGTAATCAACAGTTTGAATTGAAAAAATAAATAACAAAAAAAATTATTCTTCATCACTACTATCTTTAGCATCTTTTATCACATGAATATAGCGATGAGAAACAGCTCGTAAAGTTTTTTGGTAGGCGTCGAAATCTTCATCTTGAATATATTTTGTTTTTGCTAACATAAGTTTATTATCATCTTGTGTATATTTTGCTTTTCTTGGTCTTGTTGTTCGTTTTTGTGCTTGTTCTTGTTCATAACAACAAAAATTAATGAACCGTTCTGATTTTCACGTTTTAATCAATATAAGTAATTCTTATATATAATGACTTTTTCACCTTTTTCGATTGTTGACCAAGTAAAGTTTGTATTCAAGATTTTATGTCATACATATATACATATTATAGATCCAACAGAACTCATAATCTACTCTTTCTATAACTAGTTAATCAAAAGTAGCCGCAATTTGGAAACACATAAAAAATGAAATCAACAAAAAATTCTGTGTTTCGAATTGCGGCTACTTATGTATTAATTGGTTTAATTTTTGGCCGCAATTTGGATATAGCCCGTGTTTCACAGAATTTATCCATAAGACTCATTACTATCAGTAATCTCTTCAAAATGCGTTCAATTTGTAATCTTATTCAAGTTTGATTGAATTCAGTACACGAAATTTGATTTGTTATATCATAGTAGAATAATGATCCTTTTTGAATAATATTATTCGATCGTGTAAAAATTCCTCAGTAATTAACATTGATGAATATATTTAACTCATTTTTTTTTAGACGTCAAGCTCAAATTCAAAGTGAATCATCACGTGCCCATTTAACACCATTATCTGCTATAAGAATGGTTTATACAATGAAATATCAACAAGGTAGTGGAGTATTATGGAAAGGTTGTTTTAGTTCTCTTATATTAACAACAATGGAAACAATATCAAATAATTTAATTGATGAAATAGCTCCATTAAATAATACATCATTAAGAATAAAACATATACTATTAAAAGCAATTAGTTCATTTCTACTTATACCTATGTATTCAGTTCATCTTCTTCGATCTGTTCAATCGGATTTAACAATTGTTAATCATTGGTCACCATTAACAATTTTTATTGAACCATTTCAACGTTTACTTGGAATTAAAACTGGTTTTTATGCACGTGCATTTCCATTATGGTATCTTATATCATTAAGTTTACCTTATTTTGTTGGACGACATGCATTACAATATTTTCTTAATCATCATTTTTTAAGATTTCGAGAAGAAAATTTTCATAAAAAAGATCAATTAATAAATTTAAATACAAAACAATTCGAAACAATTGATGATATTGAATGTCAACTTATTGATACAATACCAAATCTAGTCGATCGGTCATTTTTACGTATAGAAGCAAATATATTATCTGTTTTTCTATCAAATTTTTTACTTTATCCATATGAAACTATACTTAATCGTTTATTTGTACAAGGAACACGAACAATTGTTGATAATCTTGATACAACAAATGTTGGTTGTATTGCAATAAATACACGTTATTTAGGTTTGTTTGATTGTTGTCGAACAATAATTGAAACAGAAGGAACATGGGGACGTGGATTTTTTAAAGGTATTGGCTTTTTAATGCTTAAATTTGGTTTAATTTATACAAGTGCATATTGTTTAAAAATTCTTATTGAACGATTAGCTATTATTTATACACAAAATACAAGTGAATTAAGTAAATTTCATCATTATGTTATATCAAAACAACAACAAGAACCACAGCAGTATATAAATGAATCTAATTAAACAATATGAAAAATACAGTGACTAAAACAATGCTTTTTTTTCATGCTTATTTAATAAGAAAACCATTTTTCTTCTCGTTGTCTGTTCTTGGTCATTACTGTAAATTAGATCGTTTGAAACGATGATATGTCATTTTTAATACTAGTATCTGTGTTTGTGTGTGTGTGTGTGTGTGTCTATGCATATGCAGAGTTTTATATGAAAATATATTTCAACAAACGAAATAATAATTTAAATGATTCGAGAAAATAGATAGAAAAAAATTCAGAATTACAATAATTCAGACTTTATTACCGAAGTGTTAATTAAACACCGATGATAAGAGACAGGTTGGGAAAGTACGATAAGTAAAAAGTCTATAAAAAATATAATCGGTATATATTGACTTGACTGAACAAAAAATACTGTTGAAGGAAATTCATGTTGATTTATTCTACTACATGCAAACAGAGGAATAAATTTATAAGTAGGAGAGCAGGAATTTAGCATACCAATGATAAGCTATCTAATGATTCTACAACATTTAATTATCTGTTCGCGTATTGTTTATTCTAGAAGTTACTTCAAGTCTTGGAAGAATCATCGAGAGTGATCTGATAAGTAAATGAGATGATAGATTGAAAGTAAGAATGAAGAGTTGGTTAGGCTGAGGATAGATTTGACACTGTGAATGAGAAAAGTAATCAAGTCAGCTGATTCGGATCATGACTTTAGTAAACACACGTATTATTCAATCTATCAATACGCTTTTTTTAATTGTATGGGCTACATTTAATTTAGGTCATCATTGAGCATCTGAATTCACTTTTATATATTAATTATCATATTGACTAGCTTTATTCACAAGATATTTGATAATTGAAATTGTCGATAATTTATGTGATCAAAATTTGTTTTTTTTGTTCGATCAAATCAATGCGCACTGAAATTATTTGATTGCAAAATATCTCAAGTATTGCTTTTTGGATACAAAATAACGAAAGATAATTCTTTGACATCATCTCTTATTAGAAAGAGTTTACGATTTAAAGATTAAACTTCGAAATGGAAAATAAAACGAATATAGATAAGTAGACAATCATTTTGAATGATCATCCACATTTACACCTTTCTTGTTGACAGTCAGATTTGTTGTATTGATGAATTTGACAAAATGAGTAAGAGTGCTCGATCAATACTTCGTAAATTTATGGTATATTTTTTAATTTTTTGCAATTTTAATTATCCTCACAAATGAATATAGAAGCGACACATATTATCAATAGCTACAACTGGTATTATATGTTCATTAAATCTACGAACATCAATCTGAGTTGCTGCTAATCCAGTTGAATCTTAATAAAATGAATCAAAAACTATTATTGAAAATATTCAGTTACATACCGTAACGATTACTTTTTTGCGTTTGTTTTAATTTTTCTTTCACTTGATTCACAACATGAAGGATATGATTGACGATCAGAACAACATTTACCTTCATGGATATTTGTTTGTTATAGGATGCTATTTTACTTCAAGACTGTATTTCATGTTGATATACTGTTGTTCGTCCGCAATTAACTGGAGTAACTGCAAAACTTCTTGTTAGCGCGTAAATATATAAAATGAGAGGAGATCTTAACTGTATCTTTCGGTTTTTAAATATGTTGAAGTGTAAAGTTGGTAGTGGTAAAGGAAAAATTTCACTATACCCTCGACAATCTCAATCATTCGTCCGGTTGGCTGCAGCACATGCAAATTTTGTTTTATAGGCAATGAATTTTAAAACAAGTCATGTTGATGTAGCAAATTTAACAACAGATTTTTAGTGCGGGTGAATATCGTCTTCATGCTGACTTTTCTCGAAAACTATAACACTACCTTAAGGTCCGCCCGCGCCCCCCCGCCCCCCCCCCCCCCCCCACCACCCCCCCCACACCCCAAACCCAAAACCGAAATATGAGTAGACGTGTGATCGAATACT